CTTTTCAAAATATTTGCTTCCTGAAAAGTTGAGTAAACATGAATATTTTTGGTTTTCAGTTTATTAACATCATCATTTTCAATATAATCTTCATTAATTTCTAGATCAAATACAAAATATTTATTGTTAAATTTTCTTACTATTTCATGGTTTATGATGTTAAACCAGGATCTACAACTCTCCAAAAAAATTTATTAAACAATAATTGTCATTTTCTATTTTAACAATATTTTTTACAATAGGCAACTATAATATTCTTGTGAGTTTTTCATCTTATATTCAATATCTGACAATGTTTTGTCTTTTTGATTTTCTCGATTAATCCTTAGAGATATTTTTACATTACATGTTTATGTTTACTGAAAATTTCTTAAAACTTTGAATTATATTTATATTTTATCAAAGATGCTGTATCACATAATATATGAAATGCAACATTTTATATTATATTTGATCATTTCTAAAAAAAATAAAAAAATATACTTACTGATGGTGTGATAACAATAGTATTATACGTCATAATAATGTTTCACTTAATATACAATGTTGTAATTCTTACATACCGTGCTTAACTACAAAATGTTACAGAATGAGCTGATGGTTTATGCAGATTATATTAGATGTTTATCAGCATCAAAAAAGCTTTTAAGTAATTTACAAATGCAATGTAAAATAAACTGTATAAGGTTAAATAGTATGAATATTATGTAGGCTTGGTGAGAAAGCAATGACTTATTTTTTATTTTTTAAAGAATACATCAATATTTATTTTTCTTTCACATAATTCTTCAAGTGATACTTTAAACTGTATAAATTAGTTACCCAGGTAATTGATTCGAATCAGCCAATCAGACATGAAATACCGGTACTACTACACGTGACCCGACCAAATATTTTACACAACATTACTGTAAATGCCGTTTAACGTTAAGTAATATTCTTCCACAAAACAAAAAAAAAAAACAAAAAAAAAATGCCACGTACACCTAGTCCTCGTTCGGATTATTCGCGCCGACATATTTCACGTTCAGAATATAGAGAGAGAGATGCCTATTCTCGCGATCGAGAACCCCTTCCTGATACTTACCGTGATTTAGATCGCCCTATGGAAGAACCCTATTATGAACGTCGTAGATCTCGCTCGCCAACTGGAAGAGATAGAGACAGAGAGAAATATGAACGTCGAGAGAGAAGATCTAGATCTCCCTTAAGAGACCGAGATAGGGATAGGTATCGGGAACGTGATAGAAAAGAACGTCGCAGAACTCCTGAAAGACTTGGGAGATACCGTTCTCGATCACGTTCGCCCGGTGGCAGAAGAGGTAAGAGAAATATTTTTTGCAGTCTAACTCATGTTTACAATATAGGTTGATTCCCAGTGCTTTTAAATTGATGCAAATAAGTAGTCTTGTTCTGGGTTCAACCCATATTGTAGTGACAATATTTTTTTGCAAATTTGTGTATGCACTGGTGAGAGAATAAGGTATGCGGTCTAATGTTGTTAATCCTGTACATCTTTAATTTAATACCTGGTATTTCACGTATTCCTTATTCCACGATAGAACGTGGCCTAAGTCCTTATAGTTCTGAGCGCGATCGTAGAGGTTAGATTTTAATTACAATATTGGGTTTATAATGAATGAATTTCATTCTATTTAATTATTAACAATGTTTTAAAATACAGATGATAGGTATGATCGGAGAATCAAGTCACGATCGCGATCACCAAGGTAATGATTAAACTTTAGTGTTCTTTTTGGTATTTGTTCTTCAAAGAATTCATCTAAATATATACCTGTTTTTTTTTAACATTATAGGAAAGAAGGCACTGAGAACGCGTCAGGAGGTTTGTATAATGAAAAGATTTTCCGGATGAACAATTGGGTGCACAATTATTTATATTAAATGTGTGTCTTAACTTTTTTTTTAGAGCCGTCAAATAATCCTGCAAACAATATAAACCCTGATGACGATCCTGAGAAAGCAATGATGATGTTAATAAACTGAAAACCAAAAATATTCATGTTTACTCAACTTTTCAGGAAGCAAATATTTTGAAAAG